TGGTTGCGTTTAAGTGAAACATCGCTGCTTGCGCTTATCAGACAGTTGCTATATTCGCCTCATGTTGTGCGACAACGTGCAGATGTGGTTGTTATCAACGCAAGATAAGGTACCGCTTATATTTTCCGTGTGAATTTTTTATTTTGTTAGCTGGCAGTGTTGCGGCATCCCGTATCAGAGGCCTCCGTTTTATCTCTTAAGTGCGGTTTCAATGTCAAATGTTCTTATTCTCTGCGACGGTATCAAAATATAAATTCAGCGCCATGTGGAGAAACATTATGTTTTCGATGAGTGAAGTGGGGCCCAGGCTGTAGTGGCGAACCTCGATTCTCTCGTAAGGAAGGTCCCTTTTCGGAGAGGTCCTCGTGGTTGTCCAAATTAGTATTAACATTTTTCTGCAGTGCAATGTAGGCTTTTTTATATGAGTCCAAGCCACAGCTGAACTTATTTGCCTCTCTTATGTAGTCCCCGGTAAAAATTGGCGATAGGAGCTGCGTTTCAAAATACCATAGGAGTTCTTATAGCCGACTAAAGAAGACTATAAAAATCATCTAGCTGGCTGTAGAAAGTGGAGCAAATCATACAGCCGGGCTATACGAAGCTCTAAAAAAGTATACAGTCGAGCTATAGTTCCTATCGCCGGGCTTTACACTTTATCGCCATTGGCTATACAAGGCTATAAGAAAATGTGTAGAAATTTGTGTGCTTTGGAAATCATTAAGTTTGATACGGAACTAACTTTATATTTACAAAACACACATTATATTATTCTTTAAACATATTTTTTTTTCATCAATTAAAATGAGAATAGTCCATAGAGGATGTGCAAACATTTCAAAATCATGAGTTGAACAACGCTGACTCCGCGAGATTTAATATTAGAGCCTAACACAAAGTGGAGCGGCGACGCACTGGCGCCTACAAACCTAACAGGGATACTTCACGCATTGCGCAATGCGTGAGGTATCCCTGTTAGGTTTGTAGGCGCCAATGCGCGTTTCGCGCTCTCTGCCCACCCGCCGCGCCGCAGCGTGCCACGGCGTCTGAAGCAACTATTTCACACCAGAGGTATTGCACAGTATCATAAGAAATTGAAGGCGCTCCAGTACTAAGAATGATAGGCATTCTTCAAAAGTACGGAGCATTCCTCTCAAAATAAATCAAGATACTACGGCACAAAAAGAGAGCGGTAGTCCAAAAACTAACTAAGTCCTAGTATCCGTATTTAGTAACGTTTAGCATAAACTTAATCGTCTGGCTGTTGCTTAGTTGCCATCGGCTATAAAAGGCTATAAGAAATTGTACAGCCGGCTACAGAAGCTATTGGAAATCTTGCAGCCGGCTTTAGGTCCATAGAATTTTGGAACACACATTCTACCGCCGATTTTTACCAGGGGTCAAACAACCAACCATACATAGTTTATTCGGTTTCTTGAAACGTATACCTTCTTCAATGAGCACCCTATTTCCAGAGTCTTGGAATTGCCTCAACAAGTCTCGGGTCCTCTGGGTTAATAATCAATGGCCAAAGAACAATACTGCGTATCTGCGTACTGACAATTTTACAGGACGAAGAGTTTTTTTTTGTTTTATTTGTATGTTAACAACAATCTACAAAAACTTCGCCACTTTTGTGATTCTGCAGGTAGATTTGCAATTTTTTCTCACTTAACAGCGGCATTACAGCGCTTCCCTGCAAAATTAGAAAAAGCTGAAAACGTCAGCTTGCATATTGTATATATTGCTCCTTATTTTCATTGCATATTTTAGGTACTGTTCCTTAGCTCTCGTCATGACATTTGTCCTTGGAAATTAGGGAAAGAAGGGGGGAGGAAACATGATAACGTCTCCATCCTATATTTTCGAGTTTTTGAGTATACGTGGCTTTTCCACTATTGTTCCTTAGCTCTCGTCATGACATTTGTCCTTGGAAATTAGGGAAAGAAGGGGGAGGAAACATGATAACGTCTCCATCCTGTATTTTCGCGTTTTTGAGTATAAGTGGCTTTTCCAGTGAAAGAAACCGAAGTTTCACTCGCGTCGTACTTTCTCGCACGCTTTTTGCCATTGGAAGCTGCGGACGCGGACGACGTATCTCGGACACAGGCGTCGCGACGCCGCGTCGAGCGTGGAATCGGCGAGTGATTGCCAGATCGGATCGGACGACCGGGTGACCGGCGAGCTGGTCGGTGGCGCGTGTGTGGGTGAGCCCTTTCGGTTTTGCAACCTATCCGTAATCCTGGTCCCATTTCGCGGCTCAACCCAGCGGCGGCGGCGCCTCGCGCCTCGACGCTCAACTTTTGTTGAAATACTTGGTGCCAGGCGTTGCCAAACCGATGAGGTAAAATTGTCACTTTAGGGCTCACTTATTGGGATGATGGGGCTTCATCATTAGCTCCGAAGCGCGGCTCTGAAAAGTTATATACATTGGATGTGCACTGGAAGAAAAAACACATTGGATGTAGAGTTCAGACTCTTGAAAACATTGACAAGAAAAAGGACTCTTAATTCAATCAGATTTAAGTCTAAATCAAAAGGAAATCCACTCAAATTAAGAGGCTTGGTTCTTGATGTAAGTTTAATTCTGATTGAATCAAGAGTATTTTTTCTTGTCGATGTTTTTAAGAGTCTGGACTCTAGATCCAATGTGTTTTTTTTTTCCAGTGTGAGAATGCCAAATTTTTATCATTTTACTCATGCATCACACTATCAACTCGAATTGCTTGAATCAAATCCCGCTAAAATACGCAAGTCAGATCAGACACTGGAATCGAGGCATTTAAGGCTAAGCGCGTGAGTGCAGTATTTGAAGAAGTTGAGATGGTAATGATTTCGTTCGGGGTACGTTAGTAATGGGTTCGATTCCCGGCCAGGTGATCCGAGTGTGATGGACTCAAGCAACGGTTACCCGGGGGGGGGGGCTGGCCAGGGGCACAGAAACTTTCAAGGGTTCCCCTAAAATAAATTTAGGTTCCCCCACGTAAAGTTTTCGCAAAATTTTACCGGACACACAAATTGACGCGGTCGACAGCTTAGTTCCCCCAAGTACTACCCGCTTGAATGTGGTGTTCCCCACCATGAAAAAAATAATAATAATAATAAAAAAAACCTTCCCCTTTTTATAGGGTTCCCCCGTTTTTCTCGGCCTCGCATGGGTTCCCGTTCCCCTATTTCACGGGACCTACCGGTTTTGCAATACGGAGGTTTCTTGACCCCTGGGGCTGGCTGGATTAAGGACTGGAAGGTGGGATTCAGGGGCTGTAAGCGTGAAAATGTCCCCTCACGGAAATCTGAGGTGAAAAAAAAAATCCCAAATCCTAAAATGTTTCTACAAATTCGTGAACCATGCGATGTCAATTCAAATTTCGAGAGGAATTAGGGTTGATTCTGCCTGGGACTGACTGGCAACGCGGTGGTTCCCTGTCGAAGTGGAGTTGGACCGCGGCGGCGTTCCACCGGCGAACCGGCGAGACCTGAATCGGTCCAAAGACAACGCAACAGTCCTGCGACTCAGGTAATTAAATCCGTTGGAGCGTTTGACCTGTGCCCACTGCCCACTTGTAACTAGGTCTCGTCTTTCTTTCGTCCCGAGTCGATACGATCTCAATGCTCCGGCTCCGATTCTGCTCGCGCCGGCCGCGGCCGCTCCGCGTCTATCCTCGTTTTTCGTGAGCCGCGCGCGACCCGCCCGGCCGGCGCTTGACCCGCCCGCCTTTCTGCTTTACCCGCTCTTTCAACCACCGAAGTGGAACACGCGTGGCGCGGCCCATCTCGCTCTTGCCCCTGTTCACGCCCTCGTCGCCCCGAAAAAATATTTCGCCGACCGTGTTTTGACGGCTTCTCATGGGTTCAAAGTTTGCTGATTCAGAGAAATCCGGAAAGTTCGGGAGTACAACTGATTTTTCAGGGTGTCTAGCATCAGGAAAAACTAGAAAATATCAGGAATTTTGGCCGATCAGGAAAAAATCGGAATAATCGGACGTTTTATCAGGAATTTTTCTCACTTTGTCGGAAAATTTAGTTTCCGCATGCATTTATGCAATACATATAGTTTTTACGAGAAAAATCAGGAAAATATCAGGAGTTTTCACAATGGAAAAATCAGACATTTTTTATAAAATATCAGGAATAATCGGGAAAATATCAAGATTTTTCAAAATGAAAAAATACTAGACACCCTGTTTTTTGAAGCCAGTCTGGATGGACTGAAATGTGCGGAAATCCGAAAGAAGGTCCGCAATTTTCTCGCTTTATGACACGCATGCTATTTGCAGAGACAAGCTATTTAAGACAGCCTGGAATACTTGCAATTCCTCGCGCATTGATGCTTAGTGCAGTGCCATAGAGGAGAGGTAAATGCCTTCTGGGTAGGTATTGTGCAGCCAGTTGATCTGCAAGCCACCAATGAGGTTCGACTTTCGTGGCTACGTCATTTTTGTTGCCATTCCTGAATTTCGAATTTTCTTTTTAATTTTGCCACGCAAAGGTACTGCTGAAGAACTAAATTTTTCTTATGATACGTACTAAACTTTTTAGGACGATACTAAATAGTACTGGTTGGAATAGTCCTGGCTGTGAGTTCTTGCCAGACAGAATTATGAGAGGGGGGATCTAAAACCGCCTCGGAAGAACGGGGTCCGTTTATAATCTACGGTGAACTATCGATGTTCGTAGCAACAAAGCGTAATCGAATTTTTTCGGCCCAAGAAGGTTTTTTTTTGCAAAAAGGTGAAACCTTTCCCGGAAAGAAACGAGTGAGGTGGTCGGTCAATTATTGAAGTTGCGTAACCGGTGCGTCTCGTTGCGTCGCTGCAGACCTTTTAAGGGGAAAGAACAAAACTTTGATTTCGTGTCCGAGTGGGTGTTACTTTTTTTCTATGTTGGACTGAAATTGGTACTTAAAAATTGTTTATAATTTTTTGATTTTGATTTTTTGTTTCAGGCTGCCGGTGGTGAGTGAGTGCTCGCCTCGGGTCAGCTCCAACCATCCGGGCTCCAGCATGGCTGTGTCCCGCGTCCCGAGCCCACCTCCACAAGAAGCCAACACGCCGGTAGCTGAAAATTGGTGCTATACTCAGGTGAGTACTGTCGACTCTATCTCACAATCAGTTTTTCTCCTCTCCGTAGTCCTCAAAATGTATAAACTCAGGGTTTTTTCAACTTAAAACCACGCGCAGCACAACGGGAGGATTCGCGAAGTTGGGTTTGAACCCAACTTGCAAATACTTTAACTCCGCTGTGGACCGGGTTGCATACGCTTGATTTTGCGGGCGAAATCGGAGATCTGCTCACGGCCTCTCTCTAAGCTCCTCTCCGTAGTCCGCACAATGTATGAACTCAGGGCTTTTTCATCTTGAAAAACGACGCGCAGTACAACGGAAGGATACACGAAGTTGGGTTCGAACCCAACATGCAACTATTTTAACTCCGCGGTGGACCGGGCTGCATACGCTTGATTTTGCGGGCGAAATCCGAGATCTGCTCACGGCCTCTCTCTAAGCTCCTCTCCGTAGTCCGCACAATGTATGAACTCAGGGCTTTTTCATCTTAAAAAACGACGCGCAGTACAACGGAAGGATACACGAAGTTGGGTTCGAACCCAACATGCAACTATTTTAACTCCGCGGTGGGCCGGGCTGCATACGCTAGATTTTGCGGGCGAAATCCGAGATCTGCTCACGGCCCACGCGCGTTCGCTATACATGGCCCTCGCCTTTTTAAACCTGGAGTCGCATTGAAAAGTTAAGGGCAGCGGACCGGTTATTGACATTGATAGACAAAGCGAGACAAAGAAGAGCAAGGGAAAATGAAGCATTGTTATTGGTTGAAACGGGCGGTTGGTATAGACTGTGGGGCAATAGTGGGAAAAGCGTGATAATTTGACGTTGACTTAGGAACTTTTGCTTTTTGAAGCGGAAAGTTTAGCTTTTTGAACATTTTTATACTCAAGATTTTTTTAGAATAGGAGTGTGTGGTAGTGAAGATAGACGAGAAATTTAAGAAGGCAGAGGTGGAATTTTTAAGTTGTCACCTATCAGAACTTTCAGAACCTCGGCAGAGTGATAGTATTACACCTCTGTGATGAATCAGTTGCTAAGATGTATTTTATGTAATCAATTATCGAAAACAAAGGGAAGACACAGGGAATTTGATAGTCGAAATAAAGAAGTCCAATCGACTAAGAAACTACCAGACTACATATCTCGGTTTGCGACGTTGCAGACTTCCTGCCATACTTTATTTTTTTAAGCTAAACGGACAATTTCTCAACTTTTCCTAATTCTTGGAAACTTCCGTGGTTTACTATCTCTGTCCAAGGAACCTCATAGACAAGCTTCAAGGAATGATGTTGATTTATTCTCCCCTAAAAAAAGTGAAATTGGTGCGGAGCTTTTTAAATAGCGCTAACGAGATACGCGGTTTGGTAGTTTCACCGTCGTGTCTCCGGCTCTCCCGCCGTGGGCCTTTTTACTTTTCTAACGCGAGGGCTTGAACTCGAAGCGCGGGAACCAGGTTCGCGAGCGTAAAGCCCTGTCAGAAAGCAGTAAGTCCAATTCTGTATGAGCTACGGTTAGCACACGCTCATACGTCTCTGGAGGCTCAACCCGGACTGCACTTAGGGCTTTCTTCCGTTGGACGGCAGAGCCAGGAGCCACTCGAGGCTGCCCACCCGGAACTGGATTCTCTCGACCCGTCGTGACGCACACAGACACACAGCAAGGTCATCCCACCTGCGAGGTGTCGAGATGCCGTCCCACGGCGGAAGGGGGGGGGGCGGCGATCCAGATATTCGGACGTCCGATTCGGGCCCGGTCATTGCCGCCGCCAGCGGTTTCCTAGGGACGCGGCCCGTTGCGTCGACCGCGCGCCGAGCGGCCGAGGGAATGGCGGATGCGAACGGCCCTGGAGTTGTCGACCCCGAAGTCGGTCCGTTAGCCGGCGGCGGCAGCGGTGCCGTAAGCCGTAAGTCAGGCGTGCGTCGCGGCCCCAGCGTTGCGAGGAAATATCGAGTATCTTCCGGATCCCGGGCTCTCCGAGTGTGACAGTTGCTCGCCAGGGGTCCGAAAAGTTCCGGAGCGCTGACATTTTGCCACCCGGAAAATCGCAATGAGTACTATTTTACGTTTCCAAAAAATTTTGGAATGTAATTTTGTGCCAGACTCTACATAGGTCCTAAATAAAAACTTTTTAGAACGCTTAGCGGAATCTGATCGTTTTTTAAATCGATCGTATTTTTGTGAATTAGATTACATTTTGCAAGAAGGAATGCCTGGCACATGTTTCTAAAGTGAGTCAGAAAGTGGTTAGTGGCCGGTAAGTGGTTCCTTATTGCAAAATGTAATCCAATTATGCACAAAGAAAAGCATTTCGTGCATGGGATCCGAAATCCAGGTCCTACGGATCTATGGAATTTTCGGACCGTGAATCTGAAAACTTAATTCTTAGCTGCCGAAGTTCGGGTCACACATCTGAAGAACCTCGGCACTTCGGTTAGAGCTTTTAGGGAGTAACCGAAGGACCAAGGTACTTCAGATGCGCGATGTCAAATTCAGAAAATGAACCTCAAGTTTCCAGAATCACGACCCGAAAAATTCTGAGATCCACATGACTTGAACTTCGAGTCTCACACACTAAGTCTTAATTTCCGTGTGTAAAAATCTACCGATTCAGACTTGTGTGGGACTTTACTTAAATTCCCAGGACCTCTGCCCTCGAAATTATTGTTATGACTTAACGCGTGTAGGCCAATCTAGAGTCCCTTTATACTGAGAGTCAAGACAATTTGAATCCATTTGTGATTGGTTCCCGTATTTTAGGCCTCCACAGTGTCACAAACGGGAATAAAGATTACATTTTCACCAATTGCAAAGATTATAATCTGGAATGGACCAGGGAATTACGGGTTCGGCAAGGAACAAACGGAATGAGAGGAGGAACGGAGAAAGGCATTTGAGAATGGGCCGATCAAAGATTACGGAAAACGTTCAATTTCTGTAATCTTTATTCCCGTTTGTGACATCCATGAGCCGAATTGTCTTGACTCTCAGTATAAAGGGACTCTAGGCCAATCGGAAAGCACGCGGTCGGCCCACGGCGATGTGGCAACAGCGGTGATCGACGCGGGTCGTTGTGGGTCGTCGCCCGGTCGCTGTCTTCTCGGCTATTGCCTCGGTTCCTTTTTTTCTTCGCACTCTATTCAAGTATGCGCCTGTGTATTTTTATTTTTTTATTCTTTTACGCTCGCTCTATGTGTGTCTTTTTAGTGTCATCCTCACTTCCCGAATCCACGCATCAGGGCACCGGAGTTGTCATCCTTTGCGATACAGACAGAACTTTAAGCCGAGACATCTTACCGGGAAGACCCTCCCCTCCCCCTCCCTCCCTACCTTCAAATCAGCATCCCCCTGGCTGGAAGGTACCTGCATTGGAAAAAAAAAAAGTCGCTAGGATCTTGAGTCCAGGCTCTTAAAACATTGATAAGAAAAATACTCTTGATTCAATCGGACTTTTTGCTTAAATCGAGAGGAAATCCGCCTAAATCAAGAGGCTCGGCTCTTCGATTCAAAGAAAAATCTGATAAAATCAAGAGTATTTTTTTGCCATTGTTATCAAGAGTCTGGAATCTAGATCCAAGCGACTTTTTTTCCAGTGTGCCTCGCATGATCGGAAAAATCGAGTGGCGTCTTGGAAATCTCCAATAACGGTTCCTTGTGTGAGGAATTTGGTAGCCCTGTCCTACGCCGGTCATGATATTTGTTAGGGGGTATGCTGCGTGACCGCTACGCGGCCCAACCCTCAAACGGCGCTTCGCAAGCCCTTGTGACTTGATCTAAATGGAGCGGTATTCCATCGGAAGCCCCAAAAATCATGAAAATCGGACCGGTAGATCCGTCGAGAGAACTGTGACCAAAAAAAAAAAAAAAAAAAAAAAAAAAAAAAAAAAAAAAAAAAAAAAAAAAAAAAAAAAATGAATAGTCACATTGTTTAAACGGGAGAATTCGCAATTTTATCACCGAGGGTAGACCGGAGTAAGGCAAGGGTTGATGAGGAAGATACCGTACTGCTGTCTGTTCTGAAATTCAATGAAATGGGGGGGGGACGTAGAAACAAAGCAAGTCTTCTTTTGTAGCGGCTATGAGCGCTTACTTTACCGATCATTCACTATCATTAGTTCTCACCACTTGTCAGTACATACCGTATTACGTAGCTTCAGTCCCCCGATTTAAAGGGAGGGAAGTAGGGCTTTTTTACAGGAAATCTGGCAACCGAGGAGTTAAAGAAGTGTGTAAAATGTTAGTTCGACCTGCGTCGCGAGTCCATTCACCCTGCGAGCGCGAAATAATCGGGAGTCGGACCGACGCCCAGTGGTGCCGCTTCGCATGAAAATACCTCGCTTTTACTGATAGACATTCAGAAGAATGAATCACGTACGGCGTAATTGCGGAACAAGTGACTAATCTATTGATCGGTGAAGTGTCTGTAATTTAATGACATTGACAGTTCAAATTTTTTGAAAAGTGAAGAAACTACGTTCAAATTTTAAGAAACTGTCAAGAAATATGTGTAAATGATCATCGAAGTATGAGCTGTGAATATACTTCTTCGAGCCTGCACAATGAATCAACCTGCTAAGCTTTTCTTTTGATATTCCAGTCTTAAAATTTTCTGTGACTCAATCGATGGGTTTCGAAAGCAATTTGCTCCTGAAGTCTTAAAACTATACGACAAATAATTTTGAGAGAATCTTACCGCAGTAATAATTAGTAGCCAGATGACATTACTCTGAAAAAAGACAGTGTGTGGGTTAAGAAAGTGAGCAGATGTGAGAAAAGCACTCAAAGGAATATACGGGTCGCTATCACTCTCCTACAAAATGTGTGACACCCCTTCAAGCTCGTTCAAATTATCTATTACTTAGTAATTGCTCACGCGTTTATTTTTTAAAAAAATCGCTAAACTTGCCAGACGAATTTCCCAGAACCAGGGAAATCATTAAAATGAGGGTATATAGAGAGGTAGTAGAGAATAACTACACTTGTCGCGATAAATTATTCACAAATTGTATATTCAACTGTCT